TTATATGGAGTTACACTACTGTAATAAAAAGGGTTTCAGTTGGATCAATATTGACTGTTGTCACTGTCCGACTGTCACATCACTTACCTTCTGATGTAATATCATCTTCCCGAGGCAAGAGAGTTAACTGACTTTAAAAGTCCAGTTTCCCCCCTTGCCAAACTAGGCTGGAATAACTGGGCTCGATCGTAGCACCACCATCGTGGCTATTACCAGTTATGTCCCTTCTAAGCCTCTCCTATGGACCAATAAGATTCCACCTCTCGTATCACTTGGGTTTGCTTCACACAAAATGGTGGCGCCGAGTCAGGACGAGCTGATCGATAATCAAGATCTATATTGTGATAAAACGGGTCTTACATTGCAAAATGCATCAAATAACGTGAGCACCTTGATTAAAAACATGAAAAGATTTGGAAAATATCTGCTGACAACCAGTTGGCGGTGCACATGCTTTGCAAATCCTGCAATCGACCGAAATCTGTATGACAGTAAACTCTCTTGCCTGGGGAAGAGGATGTAATTTATATATTAATGCACACAATCCAAGAAAACTTGCAATGTTTAGGTAATGTTTGGGAGAAATAGAAATAGCTTTTTCGAGCACAGAATTGAAGAATGACATTATTATCCCCCCGGCATATAATGCGGTGGGATATAGCTATGGGCATGTCTGTCCGTCTGTCTGAATCGTATCCAGAGCAGAACAGGAAAAGTGTTAAATATTTCTTCATCAAACTTTGCATTTATATCACTTAGGTGGTGAAGTTGTCCCTTTTGCTATTTGGGAATTTTTCCAATTTTTTTATTTTCCAATTTTCATGAAAGCATGCTGGACATAGGCTAACTTTGTGAGTGATGTTTGTTTCCGGAGCACAACTCCGAAACTGTTAAAAATTTATTATCAAACTTTGCATTATATCACTCAAGGGGTGAAGTTGTGCCCTTTGCTATTTAGGAATTTTACAAATTTTTAATTTTTTACGTTTCCATGGTAACAATTTGGATTTAAGTTTTAATATAGGGTGGGTTCACATATGGAGTATAACAAATAAACTGTTAGATATTTCCTTGCCAAACATTGCATGTCTATATATAAAGCACATACTGAACTGGTACCATTTGATATTCAGGAGTTTTAGAAATGTTTATTATAGAATTTCAATTGCAGCTTTTTTTACATGGGCTAAGAGAAATGTTGGGTCAGTTACCTGGTTTGGGACCATAACATGTTAAAATTGGCGGGCGGTTTAGATGACTTTGTTAACTATACGCTTGTTTAGTTATTGTTTCTTGTAATTTGTCATTTGTTTGCATAAAAAAACCCACAGAAACACACTTGTTTTACTTTCCATTTCATATGGATGCGACCATGGTCGATCTTTTGTGGGTAAACAATGTATGCTTCTTCAAGAACATTCAACTCGGGATTCATTGCATACGGAATTGCACATTTACTTGTGGTTACTTTACAGACAGCTGCCAGGGGGATATGTCATCTTTCTGATGACTCTTGTATGATAAAGAAGTTATGATGCTTGTGTGTTTGGGGTGGTAAATATCCTGTATTAGGAATAAAGAATATGTATTCACTATTCAGCTTGCCAAGGCTAGCTAAATACAATGTTTATTCCTAATACAGCATGGGCGGATACAGCTTTTTTTAAAAGGGGGGGTGCACAATTAAGATCTATTTATTGTCTTTGGTGGTAATTTATACAGAAACAAAGATTTTTTTCGAAATAAAAAGGGGTGTTGCGCACCCCCGCATCCCCCCCTCTGTATCCGCCCATGTACAGGATATTTACCATCCCCAAACACACTCATGTGATAACCTCTCTATATTCGTTAAAAGTAAACATCAGCATCAAGAGGTGATGTATTGCTTACAGTGTTAGTTTTCAAATAGGAAAGAAGTGCTTGACGTAACAATGGGTTGGAACTAAACTCAGGAGCAATACCAGCCCTGGTAAAGATAAAATGCTCTTGTAATGTTGAAACCGGAAATTTGTACTAGCCAGCAGAAATTTGTACTTACCCACTGGGCTATCGGGCTTGTGGTTTCTAACCCTGAATCGGTTTTTTCAAGACTTGAATTTCACTGATGACTTGGTTCGTGTGGACCACTAAAGAGAAAAAGACGCTTCCAGATTTAGTATTGAATTCTTGCTTTGTTAGAAGGCAATGCTGAAATAATAAGAAAGTGGTACTTTACAAAAATTCCCAATCTTGGACAAAATGATATTTTTTCCCAATTTGCCTGCCAATTATTCTGCCATTTTTGTTCAAATGTAAATAAGTTTCCCAAATTAGTATATGTCCAGGAGGGCTGGGACAGGTAACTCGGGTACTTGGTTCGGGTTGATCCTGAGTAGGACCTGGGTACCCACATAACTTCCCGGACCCGTGGTTAGTCATCTGACATACTGTTTATTGACATTAACAATAAAACTCAATGGTTACACTAAAGGCATAGCTGATGTTCACATTTCTTTCTCACTGTGCAAGCATTCGTTCTGACTTTTATTTGTTCGAGTAAGGATAAAGCGTCTATCAACTGTAGTGTATACATGACCAGATAGTTTTATATGTGTATCTAAATAGTTATTGCGGTAAAACAATTCCCATTCGGACATTTTGTACCGGACTCTTGAGACCTGTATGCGGGTATGGCCGGGTTATAGGGTGTCGGGTACTCGGGTAGTAAATATGGACTTGTCCCAGTCCTAATGTTCAGTTAGGAGTGAGACTCAAAATATATGTTTTGACAGAGATATTTTAAATTGTGTTTGTGATTAATTTTGGCCTTTGTGATTGGACTGTATTCTTGTCTCAAATGGGTTTTCTTGGCACTATAAATCTTTTTCCACAGGACCATTAAAGCTGAAAATTCACAAGCATTGTTTGTATGTTCCTTTTTATGATAACATGTTATTTTGTTTAAATCATTAGAATTGTAATGTAAGTTTTTTTGTGCTCAGTATTTTGGCAGAAAATATCTGAATATCAATGAAGACAGCAACTTTTGTTAAGTGACTGTCTGTGTTGACATTTTATGCTGTTGACTACATATCCAGCCAGGTGAGCTTCAGTGCCGTGGCATTATATATGCCATTGATTTTAACATCCTGCATTCTTGGCTCTGGCCTATATGATCAAAATGAAATATTTATGCATCTTTTTAGGTATCAAAGGTTTTGTTCTTGAAGTTTTTCACATTTTCATACAAGCTTTAATCGCCTTATTTCAGTTATTATAGAACAAAAATCATTTCTACTTCAGAGTGTTGCAGATCTTCTAAAAAAGAATAAAGCAAAGATGACAAACTGAGATGTAAAAAACCCTGGATAATTGATGCCTAAAAGCTCCTATTAAGTTAGCTAGAAGCAGGACTTACAAGTTTGATGTCCTTGTTTAGTCATTTTTTAACATATACAAGTTTAAGTTAGAACTCAGTTGGCTTATTTCCATTCTAGCATGAAAAAAAGGTTGAATGATGTGACACTGGTAGAGTCTAATATTTTCAGTTGGAAATTGTTGTATTGACATGATTGAGGGAGCAATGACTCATCAGTTTTGATCAGCTTGTGCTTGCTTTTATGTACTCAGTCATAATTTTAACTCTTATGTGCTCAGTCATAATTTTAACTCTTATGTGCTCAGCCATAATTTTAACTCTTATGTGCTCAGCCATAATTTTAACTCTTATGTGCTCAGCCATAATTTTAACTCTTATGTGCTCAGCCATAATTTTAACTCTTATGTGCTCAGCCATAATTTTAACTCTTATGTGCTCAGCCATAATTTTAACACTTATGTGCTCAGCCATAATTTTAACTCTTATCTACTCAGTCATAATTTTAACTCTTATGTGCTCAGCCATAATTTTAACTCTTATCTACTCAGTCATAATTTTAACTCTTATGTGCTCAGCCATAATTTTAACTCTTATCTACTCAGCCATAATTTTAACTCTTATGTGCTCAGTCATAATTTTAACTCTTATGTGCTCAGCCATAATTTTAACACTTATGTGCTCAGCCATAATTTTAACACTTATGTGCTCAGCCATAATTTTAACACTTATGTGCTCAGCCATAATTGTAACTCTTATCTACTCAGCCATAATTTTAGACATGATACTTAAATAATATATATGCGACAGTAAAATCAAGGATAAATACTCCGTAGGCATTATTTATTATTCCCTGCCGAGGAAACATGAAGCAACACTTCTGCATCTAGTACACACCACTATTGTGTATACACAAGTGCTGTATTTCATGGCATCGCAGTACATGTATGTCACAGTATTTCACAACATCTGTATTTGAATATACCTACTGGTTGGTTTTGCGAAAGAAGTGATTTCAAGAGAATATGTTCTTTTACAATGATGATCCTCAGTAAAATTATGTAATGTAAATTTCATAGGGCTGGTTGACCCAACTGAATGCAGGATTCAAAATCATGTTAGAATTCACTTTACGCTGGGAATTACATAATTATTAGGGAAAATGAGCCTACTATTTGTAGTACCACACACGTTTCAATCTAAAATACATGCGGTATTCGCGTATTGAAACGTAACATCTTTGTAATAACATTTGGTAGATTCATTGCAAATAAACCACCACATGGAGAGGTTGTGCCATGTGCAAGTTGGCCACATGGTTTACTATAATTAGATATGGTCGTGCAGTAGATGTCAGATGACCGATGTTGTTTCCCAGACAACAAAATATCAGATCAAATGTAATGATTTTAAACATCATTTGACTTTTGATACATTGACTGGTTTAGGGCAAATCTGTGTAATCAGTTAAGATGTGAAAGTTGTCTCTTTCTTTATTTATTTAAGATTTTCTGTCATCGATAACTCGCTGACGAATTATCCCAGCATCTGTCAAACAGTCAAGTCTCGCAAAATACTCTGCTGTTTATAGTCCGGTTGCAACTTTTTGAATGTTGGCATCCTCCTAAATGTGATTGTGTTTCAGGTGGTGTCACCTGCACAGTGGACAATCAGACAGCCGTTGCTGTTCAGTCTCTCCTTGACTCTCAGAGCATACCATCAGGTGCTGACACACAAGGTAATGCATGCAGGGGAAACATCTCATTTTACCATTCAGAATTCTCTCACCTTTTACCACAAACTTCTGGTCCAAAGCAGAATGTCAGACTGGCCTTGCAGACCTCACTGGCTAATTGCGATACCTACTTGATACCTCAGGTGGTAACAGATTAGTAATTTGACATAATTGCACACTACTCCTTAAACCGCCACATCCCAACGCATAAAGTTTGAATAACTTGGTGGCTTTTTTTACGATGGTTATGAGTAATGATTATTGCTTAATGATGTATCAGAGATCAAGCAGCTATTTGTGGTGAGGGAGTTATTGTACATGTTGTATGTAGTAAAGAAATAAGGAAGTTAGGGTACAGTTTGATTTCGACGAGAAAAGCAATCAAACAATTTGAACCATTTTTTAAGGTTCCTGGCTGCCATCGCCTGGTTTTGTCATGTGTTATGTCTTGTGCTCACTGAGTTCCTGTGAGTGGTGCAGTGGATTAGGGCTGGGATGGGTAACTTGGGTACCCGGGTCAGGTGGGTACTGAGTAGGACCCGGGTACCCACAGGACTACCCTGACCCGTGGTTAGTCACGTGATGTATTGTTTAATGACAAAAAATATCTAGAACTCTATGGTTACACTAAGAGTCACTAATGTCCGTATTTCTTTCTAACTATGCACCCATTCCTTCTGATTTTTTATATGGTTGAATAAAGATATAACCTGATATGACCAGATTGTTTAATACATGTATCTAAATACGTTTTGCCAGTGCTATGGTAAAAGAAATTCCCAATCGCACATAAATTTGTTCCTATCTCTTGAGACCTACAGTGGGTACCCGGATAGGATCGGGTAATAGGGGTATAGGTACTCAGGTAGTAAATTTGGACTCGTCCCAGCCCATTGGATATAGTTTGACCTGATAACATTACCACTAAGTAAACACTGACAATTATCAGGAAAAGTATTCATACACAGTAAAACGTCAAGAAGATTTCTGTGATTTGATGCAGGTGTTTTTCAACCAATTACATTGCTGCCAACTCTTAATTTTATTATATGTGACACATTTACTTCTTGTGACCTGCCTCTCTTTGGCGTATAAATGGTGAAGTCAGGATTAATTGTAATGAAGACATTTGTCACTATTTGCAAACTTTAGTTCTTTTCTTTTATGAGTTAAATACCAGGGATTGTTGACAGGGAAGGGTGGTTCTGTTGCAAAACTATTTTGATTTTCATGATATAAGTCTATAATAGTTTAGATATCAGACTGTCTTTCAGCAGAAGAGGAGGATTTGTTCCAATGTGGGAAATGCAAGAAACAATTTACATTGCTGCCAGCCTTTGTAACTCACAAGCAGACACGATGTACTGCCATTGTTACATCATCCCCTTCCAGTGTGCGTGTCAGTGTGGATGGAGGGATCCCACAGACTGTTGTCACTTCATTCACTTCAACAATGCCTGTAGCAGCAATTCCTCAGGTAACATCCGGCACGATAGTGCTAGCTTTTGCATCATGGCCTTCCTGGCCCTCTGTGCAGCCTAGTGAATGGGTGAAGAAAGTGTTCATTGTCTGTACTGATTAGGGACAAGAAGTGATATGTTGTATGGAATTTACTACACCATTCAGTTTGGTATTTGTGTGTATCAGATGAACACTTCTACCGTCTTGCTTGCTAATGACACAACACTGGCTAACACTTTATATTAATCGATCAAAAAGCAAAATAATCATGTTCATCATAATCAGATGTATTCCAGTAGAAATGTAAATTTAGAAATGTATTTTTTTTTCCCCATAGGGCACTCATAATTATGTTTAGATGTGTCTTGAAATATTTAAATATGAAAAAAGTAGTGAACTTGTAATATACCTTCCAACTTGATTTATCTTATTTCATCCTGACCTAGGTGATAAGCATTTGTAACTTAGAAAAGTTTCTCCCTTCCTTTTTTACTGAGATTGATGATACCCTTTTCATTTTTTGAATCCCCAGGCTTATTTCATGAATTACTCTCTGTTCAGCACGGCCGTTGAAGTTTTGAAACATGTGAAGGATACCATGTTTATCATGCTTTTAGCACAGGTGAACATTCCTTTGAGACATATCGAGAGTCAAGGTCATCCTCAAGGTCATAGCCTGAAGGTTTTAGCTTGGTTATCTATTGAAACTCTCATATTGAACATCCAATTCACTCTCAAGGTCAAACAAGGCCAGATATATATCACGTCTATGATAACACAAGAAGTCATCACTGTAGTAGGATATGAATTGGGACTTGAAGTGGTAAGAGTTTGTGTGACCTTCAATGTCAAGGTAACTATGATCATTCGTGAGATAGTTCTGTTTCTTTCTATATTGATCCTACCCGCTGTGTTGTTATGACACATTTGTAAGAACACCAATGTTTCAATGTAAAAATAATCAAGCATAAGATCAGCAAAAGTGTGAAATCATTGAGCTAGAAGTTCATGTTACTTTCATATCAAGGCTGCTGGAGGCATGGGACTCTCTCCTTTGAAGATATATTGCATTGAGTTCATGTTACTTTCATATCAAGGCTGCTGGAGGCATGGGACTCTCTCCTTTGAAGATATATTGCATTGAGTTCATGTTACTTTCATATCAAGGCTGCTAGAGGCATGGGACTCTCTCCTTTGAAGATATATTGCATTGAGTTCATGTTACTTTCATATCAAGGCTGCTAGAGGCATGGGACTTTCTCCTTTGAAGATATATTGCATTGAGTTCATGTTACTTTCATATCAAGGCTGCTGGAGGCATGGGACTTTCTCCTTTGAAGATATATTGCATTGAGTTCATGTTACTTTCATATCAAGGCTGCTAGAGGCATGGGACTTTCTCCTTTAAATATAGCAATATGGTTTCATTCAACCAGAAGTTGCTTATGACATTTGTGTATTACATTTTGTTTAAGGTATCTGGAGATGGTACTCTCTCTTTTATATTGTCACTGCATATGACATGTATTTACTGCAAGCAGAAGTGATATCATTAAATTGGACCTGGGTATAAGTTTTTTTTTAAGGTAGATAGCAACATAAGACTCTCTGGTTTAGAATTGTATAAACATTTTTTCGTTTTCACCAGAATGGAAATGCATCTTTTGGTTTCTCATATCTGCGTGTTATGAAATATTCAGTCCTAACTGACATGATGTAATTGCAGTTTAGATATTCAAGTTGTGTTGTCTTCCATTCCAGTCGCTGGGAGGGTACAGCACAACATCTGTGCCCTCCTCACCAGTTCCACAACCATTGGCACAAGGGATGGTTCTCAATGATGACCTGATGACCTTTGCAAGCCTGGACCACAATCTTCAATCACAGACTCTGCAGATGGTAAACAATGTTCAAAATAGTTATTGGATATAATAGCCTCTTTCTTCAACTACTTTCTTACTTTACAGGATGTGATGAGATAATGTCATTCAGAATTTGAAAATGACTGCAGCTAATTGCTTATATCGATAAAATCATCTAAGATTTTTATGATCATACTGGTTATTATTGCTCTCCATACCATGAGCTGATGTCACAGCATAGTTTGTGTCCTGAACTTTCATCATACGTCATACACATCTCTAAGATATGCTTCCAACATTCTAAACAAATTTTAAACAGAACACCAACTTATGTTGTAAATGTAATTTGGCCTATTATTGAGCCATTGTATCATTGTATGAATCAAGGGCTATAACAGACACATTTTCTGGCTTACCCATGTCACTTTGGAGTCTCCTGTCAATTTTCTGAAGTGTTTTTCATAAATATGACACTTAAATCCTTGGTCCAGCCTTTTTCCTCTTACCAAGTTTTAAAAGCTTCAATGGGAAATGTTTTGTCTTTGATACTTTGGTGTTGTATCTCATCGCCATAGTATTTTTGTTTACATCTTTAGTGTGTGGATGTCATCTCGTGGTACCTGTGAAGATCCAGGTTGGAATTGGTCCTCAGCAACCCATGCTTGTCTTAAGAGGCGACTAACAGTATTGGGTGGTCAGGCTGGCTGACTTGTTTGATGCATGTCAATTTATCGCAGTTGTCTAATCTGACGCTGGATTATTTACAAACCGCCGTCATACAGCTGGAATACTGCTAAGTGCGGCATTAAACAACAAACACAGAAAGCATGCTAGGTAGTACACTTTCATATCATATCAATTTGAAATTTGAAATTTGAAATTTTTTGTGGTAGGTAAACGCGTAGGACTGATTTTGGTCTAGTCAAAATAGTTCATGTTCTGGTGGGAAAGCTCTGGGGCATTCAGGAAAAGTAGGGTAAGGGGCAGCTTCAGCTTGTGCATGCAAACACTTTTCTAGTTACCGAATCAACTACATCTTGCATCAAGTGATTTTGCTGTAAATGATAATATATGCATTCTTTTCTGCAGGTAACAACTCCCCTGACTAGCCGTGCTGGTTCTGGGAATGTCTCCATACTTAGTCCTGTGAATACAGTGCCTTCATTCTCCTCCAGTGGCTCGGCCTTCACCAACACAATTACTTCTAACCAAGTGCACATACAGCCAACACCACAGATCACCATTACCCCAGTTCACACAGAAAAAACACTGGTCAATGTTGCTAAACCAAGTCCAACAAAAGCAGGTTTGTTACTTTCCATTATGTCATACTTGTTTTTCTTTCGGTTATACCTCTTTTGGATTCAGTGATAGACATTATCTTGTATTCAAACTACCAGGTCCATGGTGCTGAAACATCCCAGCACAGATCAGCAAGATTAGGTTAGCATGAATAAATACCACTAATTCTTACAAAACTTATACCTCTATTACATCTCTGCCATAAATCCTGTATTTTCGCTTCAGTCACACTAACTAAAATTTTCAGATTTTCAACAGACATCCTCTTCACTGTCAATTACACACACAACTAGTTGGCGGCAAAATCACTTTTTTCCTGTGTGTGCTAGAGTCAACACCTGTTGTAATAGTAGTAACAATCTAGCACTTGGAAGTAAGTCACATTAATCTAAGATTATTCTAATAGTTCTAATAAAAATAAACAGACATATAGGTATCCAATAAGAGCACGCACGTAAGTATAGCTGGTGCTTGGTGCTCTTTGTGAGGTCAACATGCAGTCTCCCTCTAGCCCTGGGTGCAAGAAGTGTGGCTGTTTCATGGTCACGGGAGATCCTCATGATAACTGCATGAAATGCAGAGGCACTTCATGTAACAAGAGAAGAGATTGAGAAGTGTCAACACAGATGATAAGATATTTACCAAGATGGCCAAGGCGACAACTAAGGCCAAGAGACAGGAGACTACAACATTCAACGGAAAATTGGGACACGTGGCACTGGTGCATAATGATTCCAAACTTCAACTATCAACTTAGCTGCTAAAGTCCACGGATCATCCCATCCATAGAAGCGTCCCTGGGACTACAAATCTTCCTCACCCAAAGGCCTCCTAAGAAGAAGTTTGTCCCCTCCGGGAAGGATTCATTCCAACCGAGTCGGGGATACGACAAGCGACAATCTTCTCAGGAATCTTTTGCCAGCAATATTCTCCGTTCTTCGTCCCGAAGAAGAATACATCCGAAATAAGGATGATTATGGACCTAAAGACCCTCAACAAGTGATATCTGGTACCTTTGTCAAAATTCCAGATCTACTGCGACAACCCACATGACCCAAGTCCAGCATTTTCCACGACAATCTCCCAAGCCTACATCAAACCGCCTGGAAGTTATATATGCAGACATCCGGATACTCTGAGCTTGCCTCAGAAGCTTTTGCAAGATCATGGACACCTTCATCCTCCCTTATATATGACAACAGATGGGACAAGTTTTTTCAGTGGAGAAGATTATAACTAATGCTATATGTATCCCTATGGTAGCGGACTTTTCTACTATATCTACGTCAAGACAACAAATTCCGACACGGGAGGATAGAAGGTTATAGATCAGCCCTTCATTTTGTACTTTAACATAACAGATTATCAATCAGTAACCATCCCATTGTAAACAGACTAATGAGATCCTTTCTAATAGAAGATGTTCGAACACCTCGTATATTCCCCAAGTGGAATCTATCTGTGGTACTGTCGGCATTGTTTATGGAACCTTACTAGCCCATGGCTAAAGCTACCCTACTCCAAAAAGCCAGGACAGCGTCTTTCCTCCTAGCCATGGCAACAGCAGCAAGAGTTTCAGAATTACATGCCATTTGACTATTCTAGTCTCACCCATGATCAACATTGGACCTCAATAACTCTAAGATCGCTCCCAAACTTTGTAGCCAAGAATCAATCTACCATGATTGGGCCATTGGGCAATAGACACTTTACAATTCCTGCATTAAGACCAACAGTAAATCACCTAGACAGACTCTATGTCCCATCAGAGCTCTCAAGTTCTATCTCGCGGCTACAGACACACATAGATGACATTGAAGGAGACTCTTCTCATCTTGTAAGACTAATTCCAAAAAGGACATCACCAAGGCTTCAACAGAGGGATAGCTAAAAGTTACAGTTGCATCAAGTTATATACAGGCTCAGAATTGCACACCACATCTCAGATCCTGCTCAGCTCACGAAATCAGAGACCAAGCCAAGACTCTCGCTTCATGGACATCAGTCTCAGTAGAACAAGTAGTTTCTAGCTGTCAATGGGTGTAACAAAACACCTTCACCAGCTTTTTACTTGTGTGACGTGCAGTCAGACTTACATGGCATATATTCCCTTGGTCCGGTTGTCACTGCGCAAACTATCGCGCACCAATAGATGATAGAGATTACACGATTGTTTTCCTTGGCAGACTCCATCAGTTGCCTTATTCCTGGGAAACTGAACATCTTTGCTCACAGCCTTTCCCGCCAGGGGAGAATAGTGGCAACAGAATGGACCCTACATCCCCACATCTTTGCTTGGTTAACCACGTTATGGGACACCACCACACCTAGATCTATTTGCCACTTGCCAGAACCATCAACTTCCGGTTTATGTCAGTCCAGTTTCCGACCCAAGGGATCACCAGATCGATGCGCTATCGATGGATTGGACGGGTCTATTTGCATACGCATTCCCACTATGGTCTCTCCTAGACAAGGTCATCCACAAGGTGGAAGAAACGGATTGCATAATAATCCTGATAGCACCAATCTGGTCCAGCAGAGTGTGGTTCCCCAGATTATTAACTCTACTAATGGAAGTACCTCTACAGTTACCTCTCCATTGGGATCTGTTATGACAACTCAAGTCAAACATTTTCCACGACAATTTTTCCACGACAATCTGCCAAGCTTACATTTAACTGCCCAGAAGTTATCACGCAAATGATGCAGACATTCGGGTACTCAGACCTTGCCTCTGAAGATGTGGCAAGATCATGGAGACCTTCATCCTCCCTTATATATGACAACAGATGGGATAAGTTTGTCCAGTGGAGAAGACGACAAGGGATTATAACTAATACTATATCCTTCGCTATGGTAATGGATTTTCAACTACATCTACGTCAGGACAATAAGTTCCGACACCAGATGATAGAAGGTTATAGATCGGCTCTTCACCCTGTACTTCAACATGATGGACTCTCAATTGGAATCCATCCCATTCTAAACAGACAAATGAGATTCTTTCTACTAGAAGAAGTTCACACATGTCATATCTTCCCCAAGTGGAATCTATCCGTTGTGTTGTCAGCACTTATAACGGAACCTTACTAGCCCATGGCTAAGGCCACCCTACTCCAAAAATCCAGGAAAGCATCCTTCCTCCTCGCCATGGCGACAGCAGCAAGTGTTTCAGAACGCCATGCCTTGGACTATTCTAGTCCCACCCATGCCAAGACACACATGATCAACATTGGACCTCAATCACTCTAAGATCGCTCCCAGATTTTGTAGCCAAAAATTAATCTACCACCATGGAGCTGTTGGGCCATAGACACTATACCATTCCTGCCTTGGGACTAACAGTGGATCACCCAGATAGACTTTTATGTCCCATCAGAACTCTCATGTTCTATCTCCCGGCTACAGACCCTTATAAATGCCATTGAAGGAGACTCCTTATATCCTGGAAGCCTAATTTCCTACTATAGCGGGCTGGCTTAAGGCTACCATTGCAGCAAATTATACGCAGGCATAGAATTCCACCCCACGTCTTTGGATCCTGCTCGGCTCATGAAATTTGAGCTCTAGACATGAGTCTCACTTCATGGACATCAATCTCCGTAAAACAATTAGTGTCTAGCTGTCAATAGGCCTCACAAAACACATCACTAGTGTTTACTTGCATGGTGTGCAACCGGATCTAGAGGGCATATTCCCTTGGAGCCATTGTTGCGGTGCAAACTATCATCTAACAATAGTTTCCCCTATCTATCGAAAAAGGGTGGGGGCAAGGATCGGACACCAGCAGCATCAGAGGGTGAAAACATGATTATTCTGTCTATTTGGTGAAGGATGGATTAGAAGCACCTTGAATATCAACTGTCCCCATTAGACCGAAAGTGACGTCATCACCGGTGTTTAAGGTCACAAATCCTAATTTAAGACATGACGTCATTAAGCAGAAATAACATCATTATTATGTTCATGATCAGCAAATATAGCTGTAATTCTAGTGAAAATATCACATATTTGACTGATTCTTGACACATTTCTGAATTTCAAGTCCTCGGGGAATTTCAGAGGAAATTATCTCAAGTAGGATTAGAATCAGTAAATAATGGTTTCGAGAAGAGGATTGCTGACAATTACCCAGAAAGTTACTAGTGGCAGATCCCACGGGGTCCCTCTCGTATATTCTGGCAGAGATGTAATAGAGGTAGACGTTTCGTAAGAATTATCGAACAGTAGTTATCATTGTTAATAATTCTAAGAAGTACTTCCCCCCCGTCTCCCGAATTCATCTACCTCTAGTCGTAGATGAGGGAAAAAAGAGATGTTGCCACTATTATGACTTCATGGCTTAGATAGTTACAAGGCTACTTGGCGACAAATAGTTTTGTGTGTAATTGACAGTGAAGAGGACGTCTGTTGAAAATCTGAAAATTTTAGTTGGTGTGACTGAAGCCAAAATGCAGTCATATAGCCTAATATCATAAATGTCCATACTTAGACTCATTGAAAGTAATATTTGTTGTAGATTGACAATTATATGTCAAATTAATGTTGAAATAGCAAGACCGCAGGAGTCCTCAGTGGTGACTGGTCAAAGTGTTAAAAGTATTCGGCAATAGCAATCAGTTTTTCCAAATCGCAACACTTATTCTTCTTATTATTTTAAATGTATGTAGTAAAATCTGCTACTAAAATAACACTATTGGAATATACTTGTCCTGGTAAAATAATAGTTTCAGATACAGTTTCTTCTGATCATTGTATAGATACTCTTTGAAGTTGTATTATTGGGTATTTTGCTACTGAATCACGGTAGATTGGGAGCAAACACGTTTACATTGGATTGCCATTTCCGACTTTGTTTACGAGAAATACACATCACAATATTAGTCTCTGTTAATGCCTATCAGACAAGAAATACAATTGAAATGGTTCATCATCCTCTTTATTGTTATCACATGTTGGTTCACCTTAAGAGATTTGATGTTAATCTCGCAGGTACATATA